AGATCATCAAATAGCGATGAAGTTATTAAACCAAACCAATCATTGAGTGACTTTTGATAAATTATCAATTTACTTTGGTTTGCAAATATAAAGTTACTTTGATATAGAGTCACAAAGAGAGTGAAGAAAGTTGAAGAAAAAAGAGGATAATTAAGAGGATGAGGAGAGATTGTGAACAGAAAAATAGATAAAGATAGAAAGAAGAGTGATATAGAATAGAAAAATACGAGTATCTATAAGAACAAAACCGACATTATATAGAAACAACACTTTATAAAAATAAAAAATAATAAAAACGTGATGGCAATGTGTTTCTTTCGTTGTGTATATTATTTTTTGAGGAATCCTTTTATCATGTGATTGATTATAAAAAAGGGTCAAGAATGTGAAAACTGAAATATTAAACTGCTAAAATAGGAATTTGCTCTTTCTATTAAGGAATTGTGTGTTTACCTTAATTAAAAAGTTAAAAATTTAAATAACAAATATGGGCATTGGGTCTAGTGGTATGATTCTTGCTTTGGGTGTGAGAGGTCCCGAGTTCGATTCTCAGAATGCCCCAATTTGTAGCAACTAATATTTTCGGGCGGTTTTGGGCAAATCGGGCAACTCGGGCTTCGGGCAAAATTCGGGTTTTTAGGCTTATTTCGGGTCGGGCAATTCGGGCGGGTCAGGCAGTTCGGGCATGGTCAGAAAATTCAAAAAAATTTCGGCGGACGGCGGCGGGCAAGAGAGTCAGTGTCAAATTCGGGCTGCCCGAGCCTGAACTCGAAAATCTAGCTTGGGCAGGCGGGAGATGGGCTTGCCTGCCCGAGCCCGAAAAAATTTGGGCTTCGGGCAGTCCGCCGACCCGAACTTCCAGCACTAAATAGGTTTATAGCTGTCTTTAAGCACCATATGTATTTTTTTCATTATAAAACTTTTAATTTTAAAATAATATTACAAGTACATCATCTATAGTAATCAAATGTTAAAATTTATTCTATATCAAGCATCGTATTATGTTTAACAGCAAATATAATATATACCAAGAATACTCCCAAACTATTAGAATAATATATTTTATTATACAAAAATTTAATAAGGTCAAATATAATTGACCAAAAGTTTTGAGGTTCTAATAATATTTTATAAATAAGAAAATAAGTTTTGACCCTAAATTTTTACAAAATTAAAATTTAACCCTCAATTTTTAGAAAATTATAAATTCACCCGTCAACTTTTAAAAATTATAATTCAACCCTTTAATTTTTTAAAATTATAATTTGATCCCATAATTTAAAAAAATTATTTTTACCCAAATTTAACTTTGCAAAATCGCTCTTATTGGCTAGTAAATAAAGAATTTACCGAGTAAATCCATCATTTACCACCTAAGCTATAACTATTGGCTAGTAAATATATAATTTACTCATACATAAATGGTAGATTTAGTTTTTATTACCAAAATCACATTTGTTATTTTAAGTTGTAATTAAAGCATTTACCTAATAGATTCATTATTTACCGTGCTCTTAGTTGATAAATGAAGCATTTACTGGATTAATTCGTTATTTAGTGCCTTTAGTTGATAAATGCGTCATTTATAAAGTAAATTCATTATTTACCAAATAAACTAAATTATTGGCTTGTAAATAAAGGATCACAAGAATAACTTATAAATGATGGATTTACTTGGTAAATGATTCCTTTACCAGGGGTATAAATGTATTTTTAAAATTAAGTCAAAACTTAATTTTTAAAAAATTAAATGGTCAAAATACAATTTTTAAAAAGTTGAGGGTTAAAATGCAATTTAAAAAAGTTAAGGGGTCAAAATATAATTTTTAAGAAGTTAAAGTATCAAAATATAAATAATTTAAAATTTTAAGAGAAAGAACATACGGGTAAAATTAGAACACAATATATCAAAATTTTAAAATATGCTATTTATTTCCACTCTTGGTAATTATCAGTTTAATAAAATGGCGCATATATGACAATTTCTCTACTAGATATTTACTTTGCATGCCACGAAAAACGCATGGGGATTAACTTCTTCCATAGGTGTCTAAAATTCTTAACTTTTTTGTCATGTGGAAGAACAAGATTTGAACTAAAATGACTAAAACATCCTAAAATAAACTTAGTAGGGTTTTTAAATTTTTTTTTTTTCTCTTTCTTTTCTCACGCAACACACAACCTTCACCCCCAAGCTTTGTCACCAGAGCTCGACGCCGAAGAGCTCTCCGTCACCAAGTAGTGAGCGTTCTTTGTCGCGAAGGGCTCCGGCTACCTCTCTGTTCTTGGTAATCTCTCCATTATTGGAGACCTCTCGTTCTCCTCACCATCACCGAGGAGCTCTCCACCACCAAGTATTGAGCCGTCGCCGTCACGAAGAGCTCCGCCACTAGATCTAAAGCACGACGACCTCTTGTTCTCGACGTTGTACAGTTGCACAAGAAATGGGTGAAACGGTGTCCTCGAGGACCCACGAAGAGCTCTGATTTGATCCACTTGTTGATCTTTCGGTAAGATTGAAGTCAACGGCAGAAAACTCGCAGAGATCATCACTGGTTGTCCTCGTCACCATAGTAGTCACAGCAGAGGGAACAACTCTTAGATCTGCGCGAGAGAGGAGAAGGGAAGAGAGAAATTTTTGAGAGAGAGACTTTGTAAAGTGGATACTTGCTGATTGTGGACGATCGTGGTACTGCCAATATTGGTGGTTATCAGATGGTTTTTGTGGTGGATACCGGCTAGTATCACAGTTGGATACCAGTATATAGGTGGATATCGACTGTGTAACCTCTTCTCGAAGCTGCAACAATCTCCTCCACAAAGTTATCGGCGGGTCTTTGCCTTTCCTTGGCCATGGGAAGATAGATTTGTATGATTGGTGAGGGTCGCGATATGGTGCACCGCCCTCAAATTAAACAGATTCGATTCTCTGATTGTGGATTGTGTTTTTGATTGTCATTGATTTTTTGTATATTTTTTGTATTATGTTGGCAACGACACTGCCACAAATAATGGTGGCTACCGGTAGATACCGATTGGTAACCATCCGGTATCTGGGTGGATATTGTCTAATATTTAGGTGGATACCGATAATCATAAAAGATACTTAATTTTTAAGTATTCCAACAACTAATATTGGCGGTTATCTGTCGAATATCAAATGATATCTCAATTAGATACTGATTTTGTGATCAGAGTATTTCGGTCAGATACTGATATCTTGGCCGAATATCAAATGATATCCTAAAGAGTATTTTTAGTATTTTAAATACAGCGTGATAATATAGTTGTAGTATTATTTACAATAATTTATGCCCCTCACACATGTCAATCCAACCCTAAAACCAACAGAGGGCTAATTAGCCGGTGAGCCCATAAGTCCATTCTACCCTACAAGCAGACTAACCCAACTCAGGGCCCAAATTTTAGGCACACGTGTGCACGAGAGAGGTTAACACGCGTGATTGAGAAAGTGAGGGAGTTTTGGGAAGTAGGCGGGAAGCAGTACCATCTTCGCTCCGGTCATCTCCATAACCATTCCTTTCTCTCACTTCATTTTCTCTCTCTACTTCTCTGCGTTTGATCAAGAATGGGCATAAAGGTAGTCCATTTCCGACGCAATCTAATTCTCTTATTTTCATGGTTTTTTATTTTATTATCATTTAGATTTATCAGTTTGTTGGTTTGGTTCTGTTAGGGTTTAACGAAGCTTTTGGCGGACAATGCTCCCAAGGCCATGAAAGAGCAGAAATTCGAGAGCTATTTTGGGCGTAAGATCGCCATCGATGCCAGCATGAGCATTTACCAGTTCCTTGTACGCAACATTTTCTGTCTTTCTTTTCGTACTTAATGTGAACATATGAATTTTGTTTTTTTTGTTTGTTTTGTTTTTTGGCTTAATTTTGATGCGGGTTTGTTTTAATCACGGTAGATTGTCGTGGGAAGAAGTGGGACTGAGATGTTGACCAATGAGGCTGGTGAAGTTACTAGGTAACGTGTTTAGGCGTTCGCAAGTTTTTTACTTCAACAAACTACAGCCATTCTTGAGTGAAGTTGTGCTGAAATTTGGTTCTGGATTTAGGAATTGGTGGATTTTATTTTATTTTATTTTTTTTGGGATAATGAAATGGGTTTTCTTCAACTGATTTTGGCAGTCATTTGCAAGGGATGTTTTCAAGGACAATTAGACTTCTGGAAGCTGGAATAAAGCCAGTGTGAGTTAGTTTTTTATTTTTATTTTTATTTTATTTTGAACTCATTGACGTTGTTCCGTCTGGATATTACCCTTGTTTTATCAAATTAAATTTCTGATGAATTTGTTGATATTGAAATTCAGCTATGTCTTTGACGGGAAGCCTCCACAATTGAAAAGTCAAGAGCTGGCGAAACGGTATTGTTTACTACCCGAATCAGGATTACTTATTTTTTATTGTTTAATCCTGAACACTTTCCGAAAAGAACAAATTACTGATGAGTTTTTTTTCTAATTACATGTTGGATTGTGATTCTCAGGTACTCAAAGAGGGCAGATGCTACTGAGGATTTAGCACAGGCCATGGAGGTACATGTTCTTTTTTTTTTTTTCTTTCTTTCATTTTTTTTTTATTTATTTTTTTCCGTTGGCGTTCTACTGATTTTTTCTAGTGTTATTATGTATTATGAAACTTTTTATTCTTGTTGTTGCAGACCGGCAATAAGGAAGACATTGAGAAATTTAGTAAACGGACTGTAAAGGTGGGCTCTTTTCTTGTATTTCTTTCTTATCAGCTTTTAGGAGTCTGATTAAAATATAAAAAATAAAGAGCCAAAGTAAAGAAACGTGTGAAGTTTTTCCTGCTTTTTAAACTGAAGTGCTTGTAATTTTGCCAGGTGACAAAGCAGCACAATGAAGACTGCAAAAGGCTTTTAAAACTAATGGGTGTTCCTGTAATTGAGGTGACATTAAGTCATTTCAAAGTGATTTCTTGCTGGCGTGACCTTTAAGTTTATTATGGGCTAATGTGCTGTTGATCATGGTGGGTTGGTTTTCATAGGCTCCCTCAGAAGCAGAAGCACAATGTGCTGCACTTTGCAAGTCAGGGAAGGTAAGAATCTCTTAGCTTGATGACAAGTTATTTAATTATATGCTCTTTGGTCCATTCCATACAAGGAAAACATGATAGTATCAAGCTTTAGTCTATGAAATGGTAATTTGTTCTCTACAGTATTTTATAAGGGATTCAGTTTGCCATTTCCTTTTTTGAGGATATAAGAATAGTTTTCTGCTTGGTTGTTTTCAAGAATGTTCACATCATTCTTCCTGATGTCAATCTGCAAAGTGACTTCATTTTGAGGTTGCATGCATTCTTACATGTTTTAGTATTTGCCCTTGCCTGACCGTGGCAATTACGAATAATGCATCAATTTTATGTTTTGTTTATTTTAGGTTTATGCTGTGGCTTCTGAAGACATGGATTCCTTAACCTTTGGAGCTCCAAGATTTCTTCGTCATTTGATGGATCCTAGCTCTCGAAAAGTCCCAGTCATGGAATTTGAAGTTGCAAAGGTGCATACTACTTTTAGTACCACTGTAATTGCTTAGGGTGCGTTTGGAGCAAGGATCCATGCCATGATTCGGATCATGGTTCGTGGCTCGCTACAGTGTTTTCTCTAAAAAAAAACACACGTAAACTGAGAATGGTTCTAAATTATGATTCTGAATCCATGAACCAAACGTCCTCTTAATGTTTGATGCACTATTTTGATGATAATCTTTTTCTAGATTTTGGAGGAGCTAAACCTTAGCACGGATCAGTTCATTGACTTGTGCATTCTTTCTGGATGTGATTATTGCGACAGCATTAGAGGTACTTGAACTTGAAATTTAATGTCTAATTTGATTTTTTCCCTAGTCTTTTCATTTTTTTTATTATTTATTTATTTATTTTTATTTAGCTCAAGTTTGAAATATGCTTGAATTCTAATAATCAGTTCAGTATTGATTCCCACAAATCCATGCTACAGGTATTGGAGGACAGACTGCTTTGAAGCTCATCCGCCAACATGGTTCCATAGAGAATATACTGGAGAACATAAACAAGGAAAGGTGCTTCATTTTTCTTCCTTTAATTTTTAATCAGTTCAGTATTAATTTAAATTTTTTTTAATTTTTTTTTATATGATGCTTAAACTTCATATTGTCAATTTTAATTTTTTTGATCACTAAATATTCTACGTGTAATAAATTGTCAATTGAGGATAACCATAAGTGAAAGTTGCAACTTGGAGCTGTAAGCATACCGTCCACAATTAAAATTTATGAACATGTGAAACAAATTTTATATGCAACTTACTGGTTGTCTTAATTGGGATTTGAGAGTGTTGATTTTCTGAAGTTCCTTCAGTGTTACCTCCGTGCGTGTAATAGATATTAATAGCAGACTGAAAACATTCCTTCTTGTAAGATGAGAACTCTTCATATTATATTTTCACTGTTTTAAGTGAACAATTGTGTCCATTTTCAGGTACCAAATACCAGATAACTGGCCATATGAAGAAGCTAGGCAGCTATTTAAAGTACCAGAAGTCTATGCTGATGATAACCAACTCGAAATTAAGTGGACTGCTCCAGATGATGAAGTAACTGATACTTGATATTTTTTGTGTGCTTGTGCATATTTATGTGTGGTGTGTGAATATGTTTTTTTTCTGACCTATGCGTGTGTCATACTGTTGTGCCTGTATGTATTATGCGCTTATACACACATGCTGATTCAGCTTTTTAGCTTGTTAAATAGTTACATTTTAATGTCTTTTCATAGGGGTTGATTGCTTTTTTGGTGAATGAAAATGGATTCAACAGTGACAGAGTGACTAAGGTTTGCAGTTTAAGTTGCTTTATTTGGTTACCACCCCC